AGCAGAAATTGAATGTTGAACAGAGGGCTTAACGTTATACACACAGTGGTAAATATTATTTAAAAGTGTCGGGAGCAGTGGCTCACACCTATAATCCCAGCACTTTTGGAGGAAGAGATGAGAGAATTGCCTGAGCCCAGGAGTTGGAGACCAGCCTGGACAACTTGGCGAGACTTCATCTCTACAATAAATAAAAAATTAGCCAGGCGTGGTAGTGTACGCCTGTAGTTCCAGTTACTTGGAAGGCTGAGGCAGAAGGATTGCCTGAGCCCAGCAGGTCGAGGCTGTGGTGGCCTTCAACATACCACTGCACTCCAGCCTAGGCGACAGAATGAGACTCCGACTCAAACATATATATAATTTAAAAGTAGACTGTATAAATAGAGAAGTTTATATAATAAGACAACTGGAAATAAAATGAAATCCTTTAAAAAATTAAAACGATTTTTTTTTTTTTGAGTCGGAGTCTCACTCTGTCTCCCAGGCTGGTATGCAGTGGCATACTCACAGCCACCCCAGCATTGACCTGCTGGGCTCCAGTGATCCTTCTGCCTCAGTCTTCCAAGTACCCAGAACTATAGGCACGTGCTACCATGACTGGCTAATTTTTTATTTATTGTAGAGATGAGGTCTTGCCAAGATGCCGCAGGTCTTGAACCCACGGGCTCAGGCAATCCACTCACCTTGGCCTTCCAAAGTGGTGGGATTACGGTTTAAGCCACTGAACTTGGCCACAATTGATTTTTTTAAAGGCAGGGGGAAAAGAAGACAAGAACAGATGAGGAAAATATAAACCAAACAGCAAGTTGGAGATTTAAGCCTAAATATATCAATAATAGCATTAAATTAAATAATCTAAATCCTTTGAGGAATAGGCAGAGATTGTCACACTGGATAAAAGCAGCATGACTCAGTCACATACTATTAGTGAAACTTGCACTCTAAAGCCAATGCTTAAGCCACAGCAGAGAGTGGGAAGGCCTGCCATGGAAGCACGATGTAAAGAAAGCTTGAGTGGCCCTACTAATATCAGGCAGAATAGACTTTGGGACAAAGAACACTACCAGGAATAAAGGGTACTATTTTTTACTAATAAAAGAGTCAATTCATCAAGAATTCATACCAATCCTAAATATATATGTACTTAATAAAAGAACTTCATAATATACATAGTTAAAATTATTAGAAATCAAAGATAGCCAAGTCTACAATTATAATTGGAGATTTCAACACTTTTCTCTCAATAATTCATAGATAGATAGAAAACCAGTGAACATACAGAAGACAAGAACACAACATCAGCCAACTTAGCCGGACTGACACTTATGAAGCCCCAAACCCAACAGTGAGTGTGTTTACATTCTTTTCAAGTCCATATTGGACAGTCATTGAGATAGAACATCTTCTAAAGCTGCAAAACAAGACTGAGAAATTAAAATCATACAGAATATGTTCTCTGTTCACAACATAATTAAATAGGAAATCAGTAAGAAGCTGATGTTTGGAAATCTCAAAATAATGGGAAATTAAGCAACATATTTGTGTGGGTTTTTTTTTTTTTTTTTTTTTAATGTTGGAGTCTCATTCTGTCACCCAGGCTGGAGTGCAGTGGCATGCCCACAGCTACCGCAGCCTCCACCTGCTGGTCTCAGGCGATCTTTTCACCTTAGCCTTCCAAGTAGCTGGAACTACAGGTATGTACCACCATGTCTGGCTTTTTTTT